ACTGTATTCCTACTGTGGATTCTGTACCACAGTTGTTTATCTGTCCACCAGATGATGGCCGTTGGGTTGTTTCCTGTTTTTGGCTGCTGTGAATCAAGCTGATATAAATATGAGAGTACAGGTCTGTGTGTGAATACACATTTGCATTTCTCTTGGGTACATGTAAGAGTGGGGTTGTTGGATCCCATGGTAACTGTATGCTTAATAAGAAACTATCTGATTTGCTGAGAGAGATCATTAAAAGAAAAGAAGAAGAAACTACCAAACAATTTTTCAAAGTAGCCACATCATTTTGCATTCCTGCTAATGATGTGTGAGAGAAGCAATTGCACCATGTCCGTTTTAGCATTTGATGTCATCACTCTTTTAATTTTAGCCAATACTGGTTTTAAGGCAGAAAAATCGCAAAGATGAGCAAAATGGGAATGTCAAATGGGAGAAGCTAATTTGGAGACAAATGACAGTGGGAACACTAATTTCAGTTTTGGTCTATTGAGTGTAAGGTGTTTTCAACTAAAAAATGACACTATGGGTTCTGTAACTTTTCACATAGAATTTTTAATAGAATGGCCCATTGGAGTTAGTCAGTCATGAATTTGAAGATTGGCTCACCTACTTTCTGTGTGACCTTAGATAAATTACTTGTTCTTTTCGAGCCTTAGTTTTTCCCATTTGTCAAGTGTGAAATAATAGATGGTTGTACTTAGTATGGGATCTGATGCAAAGTTAGCATTCAGTGGATGGTAGCTGTCATCATGATCTTGCTTGGTATTTAAATATATATTTTATGCCCCCGATAACTTGTGAATTTCTTGCAAATCTGAGCATTTTTTTTCTTTCTAGATGTTCTATTCCCCAACTGTGTTAATTCCCCATGCCAGTAGCCAGAGTGAGTTTTTTAAACACTGATCTTGTCAGTTACTTCCCTGTGCTGATCCCTTCAGTGTCTTCCACAAGTGCTTGACTCCACTTGTCCTTGTCTGGGTATGAATGTCTTAGTAAGAAGCCTTGATTAGGTTTTCTGTTGAAGAGGTCTCCTTTCAACCTTTTTCCTTTTTACCATTTATAACTATTATAGTCATTTGTTTAATCTTTGTCTACTCTTTGTACTTAACTGCTTGTGCATGACTATAATATCCATGAAGGCTGGCATATGGTAAGCCCTCAGTACGTTTGTTAAATAGATTATCTTGTTTTAAGTTACTTGAAGACAAGGACTTTTTATACTTAAATTCTTTCTGCTATTTTAACATACTGCTTTCTATGGCATAAGTTCTTAACAGATATTTTTGACTCTAATGGTTCAAAATAAGCTATGTAGAATTATTGAATCAAATAAGATGAAGAGTTTTAAAAGTTATTTTAGCATATTTCTATTATGACAGTAATACGTCATAGAAAATTTAGAAAACATGTAAGAGGCAGAAGAAGAAAATATAAGAGTATTGCAAAGTCTCTTGGCAGATGCTTTCAGATTTCTTTCCAAAAGGGTTTTATTAGTACACTCTTATCAGCCATGTTTGAGCAGTCCTATTCTCCATCTTTTCAGAATTTAAAGGCTTATAATTTGATAGGGGAAATTGATATCTTACTGTAACCTCATTTGTTTTTGATCATTTTCCATTAGGTTGTAATGCTGCATTTTTCATCTTTAATTCTTATATACTAGGGTAGGTTTCTGAACAGTGCTGTCCATTAATCTTTTTATTCTTGTATTCCTGCCTCATCTATTTTAACTCCCATAACTTGAAACACACTATGTGGCAGGACTAGTCTCTTAGATCTTAGATCTCTTCCTCTCTCTCATTTAGGGTAAAATCATCCCGCATGTCCTTAACTGCTTGTGTGTAACTTTTTCTCAATAGAATGTCTCTTACCCACCTCTCTCTTTCCTTTTCCTGAATTCTGATTCTCACCGTTAATTCTATAACATAATGTAAAGGTCTCATTCTGCAGATGTGCCAAAATGGGAAAAATAAGGACAATCTAATACGAATTTTGCATTTAAGCACATATGTGTATTGTATGTATATATGTGTATATGTATCTTACATCTGTGTGTGTGTGTGTGTGTGTGTATGTATGTGCATGTATGCATGTTGTTTAAGGTTGCCAACTGGTATTTCTTGAGAAGGATTATCATTGTTCTTGGATTATACCCTCAGGGGCCTTATTTAGCAAAATGCAAATGTTGCCACCCCATATTGGTTCCTAGAATTGTTCTTGAAACTTTTACCTAACTTGTAAAATCTAAAAATATGGGAACCACTACTTATATCTTGCACCACAGTGCCTTTCTTGGTGATGCTGGTATAGTAATCGTGTTGTTTTGTCCACTGAAAAGCGTACAGTGGAGTCATAGCTTATGTGGGAATTAGGCGTTTTTAGTATCACTGCGTAATACAGACATAGCAGTTAGTCAGAATTGCCTTTGCATGTTACTTGTAAGGGAATGACACCATGTTGGAAATGTCTTTCATGAGTCTGGCATAACATTTTTCCCTCAAGCACTGGAACAGATCACTGTTTCTTTGCGTTGAAGCAAGGTGAAGCAATTTGCTTTTATTCAAGGGCCATGTTACTGCGACTTTAACCATTAGAATCCCACTTTTCATTGAGAGATGTGTGGTGTGAGAGCTGAAACCAAATGAGGTGACTAGAGATTTACATCTTGCATCTCATGCTATCTATAAGGCTCACTGTGGCTTAGTGGTAGCATGTTGGTTGGCAGAATCCTTTGCGCTAATTGTTTTCTTGGTTTTGTTTTTGCTTTTGTTTTTTGAGATAGGGTCTCATTCTGTCACCCAGGATGGAGTACAGTGGCATGAACTTGGCTCATTGAAGCCTCAACCTTCTGGGTTCCTCCTGCCTCAGCATCTCAAGTAGCAGGGACCACAGGCACATGCCACTATGCCTGGCTAATCTAAAAAACAAATTTTTTTTTTTTTGTAGAGACAGGTCTCACTCTGTTGCCCAGGCTAGTCTCAAACTCCTGGGCTCTCACAGTCCTCCTGCCTTCGCCTTCCAAATTGCTGAAATTACAGGTGTGAGCCACTGCACCTGTCCTTCTCCTCCCTCTTTTTCTAAGCATCCTCCTCCCCACTCCCCTGCCAAAAAAATCGTGGGACAGGGAAATATTAGAAGATGCTTAGAAAATTTAAGCTGGGTACCATAGCTTGTATCTGTAGTCCTGGCTACTTGGGAGTGTGAGGCAGGAGGATCTCTTGAGCCCAGGCGTTCAAGGTGAGCTGTAACCCTACCATGGCACTCCAGTTTGGGCTACAGAACCAAACCCTGTGTAATTTTTTTCTTTTGGAAACAGAGTCTTGCTTTGTTGTTTAGGCTGGAATGCAGTGGCACCATCTCAGCTCACTGCAACGTCCGCCTCCCCAGTTCAAGCAATTCTTGAGCCTCAGCCACCCAAGTAGCTAGGACTACAGATGCCCACTACCACACCTGACTAATTTTTGTATTTTTAGTATAGACGGGGTTTCACCATTTTAGCCAGGCTGGTCTCAAACTCCTGGCCTCAAGTGATCTGCCTGCCTCGACTTCCCAAAGTGCTGGGATTACAGGCGTGAGCCACTACACCCAGCCCAGACCCTGTATCAAAAAAAAGAATTATAGACTCACAAAAAGTTGCAAATATACTACAGAGAAGTCCCGTGTACCCATTGGACCCAGCTTCTCCCAGTAGTAGTATCTTACATATCTACAGTTATCAAAACTAGGAAATTGACATTGGCATAATACAGTTAACTAGATAATAGACCTTAACTCAGATTTCACGCACTCATTTCAGTTTTTACATGCACTCGTTTTTCATTGTCTTGTATGTCTGTGGGTGTAAGTCTGATTATTGAAACAAATACTTTTAGGCTGGACCCAGTGACTCACACTTATAATCCCAGCACTTTGGGAAGCTGAGGCAGGAGGATTGCTTGAGCCCAGGAGTTCAAGACCAGCCTGGGCAACATAGGGAGAGGCTGTCTCTACAAAAAAAAATTAAAAATTAGCAGGGCTTTGTGACATGCACCTGTAGTTCCAGTTACTCAGGAGACTGAGGCAGGAGGTTCATTTGAGCCCAGGAGGTTGAGGCTGCAGTGAGCCATGATTATGCCACTGCACTCCACCCTGAGTAACAGAGCGAGACCCAATCGGAAAAAACAAATGTGTAGTGAGCCATGATCATGCCACTGCAGTGCAGCCTGGGCAATAGAGCAAGACCCTATCTTAAAAAAAAAAAAAAAAAACCAAACAATTTTAAGCATAATTTTAGGTTTACAGGAAAGTTACAAAGATAATACAGAGAGTTCTCGTACAGCCTTCACCCACTTTCCCCTGTTGTTAACGTCTTACATTCATACGGTGCATTTGTTACAGCTAAGGAGCCAGCATTGGCACACTACCATTCAAGTCCACATTTTATTTGGATTTTACTACTTTTCCTCTAGTGTCTTTTTTCTGTTCCTGAATCTCAGCCAGGTTAGCATATTACACTTAGTCATTATTTCTCCTTAGGTTCATCTGTACCGTGGCAGTTTTCCAGATTTTCATTGTTTTTGATAATGTTGACAACTTTGAAGAACACCGGTCACTCATTTCGTAGAATGCCCTTGAATTTGGTTTTGTCTGATGGTTTTCTCTGGGTTAGGCTGGGGTTGCAGGCTTTTGAGAAGATCACAGAGGCGAAGTGCAGTTTTCATCACAGATCAAGGATACATGGAGTCAATATGATGTATCTCTGTTGCCGTTGACTGTGATCACTTAGAGAGGAAGTGTGGCCGGGTTTCCCACCAGGAAGTTACTCTGTCCCTCCCCTTTTCATACTCTTTGGAACAAGTCGCTAGGTGCAACTTGCACTCAAGGTGTGGGAGGACTTAAACCTCTTGGAGAGGGGGATTATCTACAAAATTGTTTGAATTCTTCTAACAGGTCTTTTTTAACTTTATGGAAACAGCATGAGTGCTAAATCAGTCTAACGTATCTGTTCTTTGCAGGGTGGGAAACCCCGTAAACACCGGAAGGATCGGCTACAAGATTTAATTGATATAGGCTTTGGCTATGATGAGACAGATCCATTTATTGATAACTCAGAGGCTGTGAGTAATGTATCTTTAATATAGCAGCAAATTCATTGTTTGTATGGGATAGTAGAAGTCAAGGGTAAAGTAACTTAAATAGTTCAGTGAATGTTTCTATTTGTGCTTTCTAAAGCCATGTTCACTACTTAAAGATTTACCTTTTTTATTTTTTATTTTTAAGAATACTACACATTTAGAATTTTGTAATATTGGGTTTGTATATGGTGAGTTGTTATTACACTATTAAACTAGACCTAGTTTTATCAAATTTTTTTCTGTGAAAGGCCACATAGTAACTGTTTTAGACTTTGTGAACCTTATGGTTTCTGTCACAACTACACAACTTTGCCATTGTAGCATGAGAGCAGCCATAGATAATACCAAAATGGATTAGCATGGCTGCATTTACAATGAAACTTTATGGTCTGTGAAATTTAAATTTCATATAATTTTTGTGTGTCATGAGATAGTAATTTTCTTTTGATTTTTTTTCCCAATCATTTAAAAAATGTAAAATCCATTCCTAGCTTGGACGCTGTATGAAAAGAAGCTAGTGGGCTGGATTTGGCCAGTGTGTCTCATGATTTGCTGGCTCTGTACAATGTCTTTATTTTCATATGCTCTGCTCCTTTCCAGCTCTGGAAAGAATCTCTTGGGATTCTCTAATAGTTGCTCATTTTCAGATGTGTAATTATAGCTTTGACTCCATCATCACCCCTTGCCCAAACTGAGAACCAAAATAAGTTTTTTTAAAAAAGTGAAAAGGAAAATCAAATGCTGAAAAACATTATGTTAAGATAATGGTTCTCAGTCAGGGGTGAAAATACTAATACTTCTTAACTCAACTTAAGGAATTAGGATTTCTAGAGGCAAGGCCTACAGAGATTTTAGTGTGCCCATTTTTAAATTATAAGATTAACATATGCTTATGGTAAAACAACAATAAAGTACAAGTTAGTTATGAAGTAGAAGGTAAAGTACCCAAAGGGGCCCCCTTTTGAGAGGTAAATACTAAAAATCTTCTTATGTAGTTGTCCAGAAATTTCAGTGATACGTATATATTAGTACATAGATATAATCCTTTTAATGGCTGTTAGCGAATATACCTAAATTACATAATTTATCTAGTCACATTTGATGTACATCTAAATTATTTCTAGTTTTATGTGCATACAAGTAATTGAGCATCTGGGTGCGTTTATCTACTTAAGTAAATGAGTATGAAGGGTATTTAGAGAGTGCATTTATATGGATAGGATAAATTTCTAACAGTGGAATTTGTTGGTCAAATTTATTTGCATCTTGATTTTTATTTATTTGCATGTTGATTTTTATTGATATTCCCAAACGTGGGCAGGTGTGTTTCAAAATGACTTCCGAAGTAAGAACCATGCAGTCTTAAAGATTGGTGCTATGGGTTGAAATTAATCTGGCAGACATCTATAATATCTATTTAATTTTTTTATTTCTGCCATGCCTTATTACCAGGATGGTGCATTGAATGCCAGCCTTTATCACCAGTCTGTTTTGATTGAGCCCTACAGCTTTTCCCCTGGAATCTCCTTTCTCTTATAAAAAGAAGAAGAATTTAGGAGTGCATTTAAGGACTGAAGCAGCCCCTTGATTACATAGCAAATGAAAGACAACAAGTCATGTTTTGCAGTAGAGAAGGTGTATGTTCTTCCATTCTTGTCCGTGTACTAGAGTAATATAATCCCTGAGATTATGATATCCTCTGCAATGTGCAGTAATAACTAAGGATATACAGAAAGTGATGCTAGGTGACTATTACCCTACCCACAAATTGTATAGTATGTCTTTTTTCCTGTTGCTACCGTGGTTGCTTATAAAGTTGATGACAGAGCATATAAAGGTAGGAGAGTGAGAGTAAGGACTTCAACATGAGGCACATTGGATACTCTGTCAAACTCCTAAGTTACTTCTGGTGTCCCAACATAAACTTAGTTACCATGCTAGGCATCTTGGTCTGTGTAAGTAACATATTGCCAGTGGCCTTCCTATTCCCAATAAATCAGGGCATGGAATGTTTTTCAGAGTCTTGACCTTGATTTGTAACTCAGTGCAGAAGCCTAGATTATTATCTTAATTCAGTTTCTAATTTGCTGTGTAGCCAGGAGTGAGTCTTTTAGCACACCCGGTTTTCTCTGCTATGACTTGCTAACCCCACAGAATTAATTGTGCCTTAAATGAGGTAATGAATGTAAACTAGCTGAAGAACATGAAGCAGGTGCAAAGCATCAGTAGAAGTGTTAACATTATGTGTACTTTTTGAATTCTAAATAACCAAGAAGGAATTTAGCCATATGTAAATGGGCATCACATGTACTCACACTTACATAAGTAGCTTTTTTAAATTAATAAACTTTATTTTTTTAGAGCAGTTTTAGAGTCACAGCAAAACTGAGCAGAAAGTACAGTTTCCATGAACACCTTGCCCCTGCACACACGCCACCTTCCCCACTCTCAGCATCCTGTACTGCAGTAGTACATTTGTTATAGTTGATGAGCCAACATTGTGACACATCATTGTCACCGAAATTCATGGTTCACATTAGGGTTCATTCTTGGGCTTGTACACTTTGTGAGTTTGGACAAGTGAATAACGACATATATCTACCATGGTAGCATCACGCAGAAGTGTAGTATCACTTCCCTCAAAATCTCCTGTGCTCTGCCTATTCATTCCTCCCTCCCTCCTAATTACTGGCAACTACTGGTCTTAACTGTCCTTCATAATTTTACTTTTTCCAGAATGTCTAATAGAGAAAATGATATAGTATGTAACTTTTATAAATAGCATTTTTAATATTTCCTTTTGTAGCATTTAGGATATTTTCAGGCTGACTTTTGTAACTCATAATTGGATTACGTATAAACTTAAAGGGTGTGACCGGTATTTTTAAAGAAAATTAAATAGAATAAAAACTATCAGTATGTTATTGGTAGACTATACAGTTTTATTGGGTGTGTATGTGTATGCTAGATTTTGATGTGTAATGTATTTTCCGCTTCGGTTGTGGTGAAGAAAAGTTGAAAGCTATTGTTTTAATAAGTTAGGATAAATTTTGTAGATATAAATTGTTTAGTCATACAACTAGTTTCTGAACAAGGTAGGTTCCTGTTTTATAAGAAGAAATTGAACTGAAATGCAGGTTGATTGACTTACAGAGTAACTTAGTATCTTTGCCCTTGACATACTGTTTAGTTGTTTTTTTTGTTTGTTTGTTTGTTTGTTTGTTTTTTTTTTTTTGAGACGGAGTTTCACTCATGTTACCCAGGCTGGAGTGCAATGGCGCGATCTCGGCTCACCGCAACCTCCGCCTCCTGGGTTCAGGCAATTCTCCTGCCTCAGCCTCCTGAGTAGCTGGGATTACAGGCACGCACCACCATGCCCAGCTAATTTTTTGTATTTTTAGTAGACACGGGGTTTCACCATGTTGACCAGGATGGCCTCGATCTCTTGACCTCGTGATCCACCCGCCTCGGCCTCCCAAAGTGCTGGGATTACAGGCGTGAGCCACCGCGCCTGGCTGTTTAGTTGTTTTTATGAGATAATTCAGACATTAACAACTATGGTCGAACCAAATGATTCTTGTTCTTTTCATATTGTATTGCCAGTAAGCTTTCAGTGTTGGCATATTATTTGATATATTCTGAATCATGTACTAATTACTAAAAATAAATGCTTTTGAAGATTATTTTTAGTCTCATATTTATGCTACCAAATTGTAAAAGATCTGAAAGAAAATGTTATTGCTTATAAATAAATAATGATACCAGGCATAAATGACACTTTTATTTAGATGGTCTCTCTTAAATTTCACTAGAACTTTGTGAAGTAATATTGTCCCTGTTTTATAACTCTTCAAAACTGATATTAAGTGATTTTCCCTGGGTCACAGTAGCTAGTCATGGGCAAAGAATCTAAATCCAGACCTTTTGATTCTTAAGTTCAATGTGTTACCTCTTAATATGTTCTGCTTAAATGGCCGAACTAAATATTCATAAAAAGTTTATTCTCCTGCAGAGTGTTCTGATAGGAAAAGCTCAGCAGAATACTGCATGAGAAAAAGACTTTGAGCACATCAGAATTGCCCTGTATACCTGGTGATGAATGTGTTTCACTCCCACGTGAAGCAGCTTGGTATAGTGGATGGGTTGGAGGCAGCCAGTGACTTTGCTAAAACATATATATATATAATTGCTTTGGTAAGGTACTTACCTGGTTTTCATTTTTAACGTGAGAGTAATATTTGCCTTTCTTACCTCACAAGGGTATCATGAGGACCAAATGAAATACTTATATGAAGAAGCATTGAAAATTCTAAAGCATTGTACAAAAAACAATGTAGGCAAAGAGTACAGGGGTTTTTATCTTATTACATTACACTTTTCAAAATTATTACAGTCTGCTGGGTGCAGTGGCTCACGCCTGTAATCCCAGCACTTTGGGAGGCTGAGGTGGACGGATCACCTGAGGTTGGAGTTTGAGACCAGCCTGACCAACATGGAGAAACCCCATCTTTACTAAAAGCAAAAAATTAGCCGGGTGTGGTGATGCATGCCTGTAATCCCAGCTACTCAGAGGTTGAGGCAGGAGAATCACTTGAACCTGGGAGGAGGAGGTTGCAGTGAGCCGAGATCACGCCATTGCATTCCAGCCTGGGCAACAAAAGCAAAACTCTGTCTCAAAAAAGAAAAAAAAAAATTTTATTACACTCTTTTCACTTTTAATTCTTCACTCCTTGTATCACTCCTTTATTTGCCTATGGTACTGCCCCTTTTCTGTTAGATCTTTATAATAGTGTAGATCTTTATAGTAGATCTTTCTGGTAGTGTATTAAGTACAACAATAAGAAAGTAGTTCATTTTTTTCTTTTAGGTTTCTTCACTAATTTTATTTCAGTTTAATTCAGGGTGATTAAACGGGTCCCTCTTCCTTTTTCTATTCTCCACATAATTTAAAAGGATACAGTTTAAAGTCACAACTTTGGTACTTAGCCTTAACATTGTTACAGTAACTAATAGGACATGTGTCTTCTTTGCCCATGGCAAAGAGGTTTTCCTAAAAATCTGACTTTGTTAAAGACTAGTTAGATAATGTGAAGAACCGGGAAGTAGAGGTCTGGAGATCCCAGGTAACAGGTATCTTTCTACTATCAGATAAGTAGTTCCTTTTTTCTTTAATACTTTGAACACCTTCATTTGGCTAAGGTTGTCCTTCACGTAATGTTTGCTTTTTATCCATCTTTATCAGGTGAGGTAATGATAAACCTTAAGATCCAGCCTTTGGGGACATAAGTGTGATTTAATAAACAAATTGAGTCCCTTGCTTTAAACAAAGTACCTGCCCATTCTAGGTCCTCAAGAAGGTACTTTCTGAACAGAGCGGTTGTTTTTCTGTGCTATTCTTCTAAAATATATTTGCTTTTTTTTTTCTTTTCTTGAGACAGTCTCACTCTGTTACCCAGGCTAGAGTGCAGTGGTGCGATCTCATGTCACTGCAACCTCTGCCTCCTGGGTTCAAACAATTTTTCTGCCTCAGTCTCCCAAGTAACTGGGACTACAGGTGCCCCACCACCACCACGCCCATCTAATTTTTTTTTTTTTTGTATTTTTAGTAGAAATAAGGTTTCACTATATTGGCCAGTCTGATCTTGAACTCTTGACCTTGTGATCCACCTGCCTCAGCCTCCCCAAGTGCTGGGATTACAGGCGTGAGCCATCATGCCTGGCCTAAATTAAATGTCTTTAAGATTTTCTCCACTTAAAAGTATAGGGCTAAGATAGAAAAAAGTTTTTTATTCTTTATAAAACCTCCTTATGGTGGGAAGTGAAATTTACTCCTTATCTGGACACTTAGTCCTCTTTTTTAACCTGATTTCTCAGCAGAACCATTTGTCATTAAGAAAACTAGCAGTGGGAAGGGAAAAAAAAGTAGTAATAGCAGTTATCCTTAAATGTTTCTTAGCAGGTGATATATTTAGAATTTATTTCATTATTTTGGAAGTTTTTTTCATATATGTATATACCAAATTTATCAGAGCGAATTTTTATTCCAGATATTAACTTTCTAAATTTATACAAAATATTCATTGCAGTCTGTTGCAACTAGGATTTAAGGGAGATGCTGCTGTGGTGAATGAATTTCTTTGACATTTATAGAGTTAAAGACAATAGGATATAGCTGAAACTTTTTTTTCTTACCTAGTATGATGAATTAGTTCCCGCTTCTCTAACAACAAAATATGGAGGCTTTTATATCAACACTGGCACTCTGCAGTTTCGCCAAGCTTCAGATACTGAAGAAGATGATACTACAGACAACCAAAAGCACAAGCAACCCAAAGTGAGTTTATCAAACATTGCAACAGTAATGAGAATGTTCAGTTAATAGGATATATTTTTGAATGTTACTTGTGTTATGAGTGTGAATGTAAGGAAAAGTAAAATATAAACCATTGTTTCATGAATATACAGCTAGTTACATGATTTAAAATTAAATTATGTAGATATGAAAGAAGCAGCTTCTCTGTTCCTTCTGGAATCTCTCCCTGGTTCAGCCCGCCTGCCTCCACCATGTCCATCAGGGTGACCCAGAAGTCCTACAAGGTGTCCACCTCTGGCCCACGGGCCTTCAGCAGCCGCTCCTTCACGAGTGGGCCCAGTGCTCGCTTGAGCTTCTCGAGCTTCTCCTGAGTGAGCAGCAGTGGCTTCCACGGTGGCCTGGGTGCAGGCTATGCTGGGGCCAGCAGCATAGGCATGGGAGGCATCACTGCTGTCACCATCAACCAGAGCCTGCTGAACCCCATTAAGCTAGATGTGGACCCCAACATCCAGGCCGTGCGTACCCAGGAGAAGGAGCAGATCAAGACCCTCAACAACAAGTTTGCTTCCTTCATCAACAAGGTGCGGTTCCTGGAGCAGCAGAACTAGATGCTGGAGACCAAGTGGAGCCTCCTGCAGCAGCAGAAAATGGCTCGGAGCAACATGGACAACATGTTTGAGAGCTACATCAACAACCTGAGGCGGCAGCTGGAGACTCTGGGCCAGGAGAAGCTGAAGCTGGAGGCAGAGCTCGGCAACATGCAGGGGCTGGTGGAGGACTTCAAGAACAAGTATGAGGATGAGATCAATAAGCGTACAGATAGAGAATGAATTTGTCCTCATCAAGAAGGATGTGGATAAAGCTTACATGAACAAGGTAGAGCTGGAGTCTCGCCTGGAGGGACTGACTGACCCAGGCTGACTGACGAAATCAACTTCCTCAGGCAGCTGTATGAAGAAGAGAGCCGGGAGCTGCAGTCCCAGATCTCGGACACGTCTGTGGTGCTGTCCGTGGACAACAGCCACTCCTTGGACATGGACAGCATCATCGCTGAGGTCAAGGCGCAGTACAGGAGATCACCAATTGCAGCCGGGCTGAGGCGGAGAGCATATACCAGATCAAGTATGAGGAGCTGCAGACGCTAGCTGGGAAGCACGGGGACCTGTGGCGTATGAAGACAGATCTCCAAGATGAACCGGAACATCAGCCGGCTTCAAGCTGAGATCGAGGGCCTCAAAGGCCAGAGGGCTTCCCTGGAGGCCGCCATTTTAGATGCTGAGCAGCGCGGGGACCGGGCACTTAAGAATGCTTATGCCAAGCAGCAGGAGCTGGAGAACGTCCTGCAGCAGGCCAAGCAGGACATGGCATGGCAGCTGCGTGAGTACCAGGAGCTGTTGACTGTCAAACTGGCCCTGGACATCGAGATCGCCACCCACTGCAAGCTACTGGAGGGTGAGGAGAGCCGGCTGGAGGCCGGGATGCAGAACATGAGTATCCACACGAAGACCACCAGCGGCTATGCAGGTGGTCTGAGCTCTGCCTATGGGGGCCTCACAAGCCCCGACCTCAGCTATGGCCTGGGTTGCAGCTTTGGCTCAGGCGCGGGCTCCACCTCCTTCAGCCGCACCAGCTCCTCCAAGGCTATGGTTGTGAAGAAGATTGAGACCCGCGATGGGAGGCTGGTGTCTGAGTCCTCTGACGTCCTGCCCAAATGAACAGCTGCAACAGCCCCTCCCAGCCTGCCCTTCCTGAGGCTGCCCCAGAGCCTGGGAGGGAGGCCGCTCCCCTGTGCGGGGGAGCACAGGGAACAGGAGACCCACCAGACACTCAGCCCTAGCCCTTAGCCCACCCACGGGGAGTTTACTGCCTGGGCACCACCCTTGCCCATGCCTCCAGCTGCAAAACAATTCAATTGCTTTTTTTTGGTCCAAAATAAAATCTCAGCTAGCTCGGGGAAAAAAAAAAAAAATGTAGATATGGGGATATTAGTATTTACATCATAAAGTTGTATTTTCTTTTAAAACTCTACAAATGTGGGCTAACAATTTACTGTTCTGTGATAAGGTTATATTTCTCAGATAGGTTAAGACTTGCTGTAGAAATGACTAATAGCTGTTACCTTTCCTAAGATGTGATTTGTAACAAAATCTATAGAATTTGTCTTTGGGAACATTGTCTTTGGGAAGGATACAGTGTCCTTAGATAAGTGTTTCTTGAAGTGTGGTCCAAAGACTTAGTTGTACCAGAATTACCAGAATGCTTGTTTAAGATGCAAATTATAAGGTCCTAACCCAGATAACTGAATGGAAACCAGAGGTGAGAGTGCTCTTGAACCCCAAGGATCTGCATTTATAACAAGCGATTGTAATGCACACTGACATTTGAGAAAACCCACTGTTGATGCTGGATTGCTAACATCAAAGAGTAAAGCATTGATACTTACATAAATGATACATTCTTTTATAATTTCACAGGTTCCCAAAATAAAAGAAGATGATATCGAGATGAAGAAGCGGAAGCGGAAAGACGAAGGGGAAAAGGAGAAGAAGCCAAGGAAAAAAGTACCCAAACAACTGGGGTACGTTAAATTAAACCTAAGAAGGGAACTGGTGTCACAGTATGACTGTCTATTTTGAGAAATGTATACTTACCATTAACTAATTCAACTTACCTGAGTTTAATATAGTATGGTGTTGATAAATATTAATGACATATTTAATAGTATTATATTTGTTAATAAGTAGAAGCCTTTGTCATCTTAGACACTCAGTGTTTTAGCTGAAATTTGTAGATTGGTTTATTAAGCATTTTGCTCATTACAACTTTTTACCAACAAGAACAAGTTTGAAAAGATATTATAAACATTGAAAAAACTATTCTAATCTTTGGTACTAAAACTAAGTTTAGATGCCTGGGGAATGGAGGTTGGCAGTAGCTTATATGTAAACAATTTATAGTTGTTTTAATATTTAAATTTTTCATTGATTTTATTATTTTTTTTAATTTTTTTGAGACAGTGTCTGACTCTGTCACCCAGGCTGGAGTGCAGTGGTGCAGTCTTGGCTCACTGCAACATCCATCTTCTGGGTTCAAGTGATTCTCATGCCGCAGCCTCCCAAGTAGCTGGGATTACAGGTGTATGCCATCACACTTGGCTAATATTTGTATTTTTAGTAGAGACGGGGTTTCACCATGTTGGCCAGGCTGCTCTCAAACTCCTGACCTCAGGTAATCTGCCTGCCTCAGCCTCTCAAAGTGCTGGGATTACAGGCAAAAGGCACCATGCCCCGCCAAAAATTTTCATTGATTTTATATAGCTATTCTTTTTTTTTTTTTTTTTTTCTGCCTTGAGACAGGATCTTGCTCTGTCACACAGGCTGGAGTGCACTGGCACAATCATGGCTCACTGTAGCCTCCAACCTCTTGGGATCAAGGGATCCTCCTGCCTCAGCTACCCGAGTAGCTGGGACTATAGGCGTGTGCCACTATGCCTGGCTAAGTTTTGTATTTCTGTATAGATGGTGTTTCACTGTGTTACCTAGACTGGTCTCAAACTCCTGGGCTCAAGTGATTCACCAGCCTCAGCCTCCCAAAGTGCTGGGATTACAGGCATGAGCCACTGCACACGGCCAGTATATAGCTATTATTAATGATATTGCTGCTAAAAATCAAATAGAATTTCTCAAAAGCCTTACATCATAATAAAATATTTGTATAATGCAATCAAAAATTGCTAATTGCCTCGACTTCTCTGTGGCTTTTTTCACAGAGCTAAGGGAAAGACACTTGTGAAAGGCTGAATTTTGTTTCTGTACTTAGCAGTGGAGGTACATCTGAGCTTTGGGCTATTAGTGTCCATAAGGTTGATGTAGGAGGTATTTCTTCCCTCCTAAAACTTGGGATTACAGTTATTAAGAAATTAGGAGAAAAAAATGTTTATATTACTAATGGTTGTCTTAAATTTTCATTATTTACAAGTAAACTTCTTTGGGAATGTAGGCTATAAGTAATCCCTTTTACTGAATGTGTGGTTTTTCAACTATGTAACTTATTCATTTATTCAGCAAATATTAGTTTCCTGCTATGTGGCAGGCACTGATGTAGGGTTTGGGTTGTGTAACAGTGACTGAAACATGGGTCTGCCTTCAAGATGCTAATAACCTTTTAGGTTCTGTAGTGCACATTTGGAAGCATTTAAGCCATAGGATTTAGGTAAGATTTCTAGGAGGAATTAATAGCTAAACTGAGCTGTTTCCTTATTTTTTTCACCATAATGGCCAATTACCTATTTGCCTTTCAAGGGAAGAAGATGCTATTATAATAGTATAAATTAATAAGAAATTAAGAAAACTGCTGTGTTACCTGTCAAATGATTGCTTTAATTCTGTGCCTACTTATTTATATGACACTTTAACCTTTAAAATCACACATAGCTGGATCATTTTTTTCTTCACAGAGTTGTGGCTCTAAATTCACACAAGTGTGAAAAAAAGAAGAAACGTTATAAAGATTCTCTTTCTCTAGCTGCCATGATTAGAAAATTCCAGAAAGAGAAGGATGCATTAAAGAAGGAGTCTAGCCCCAAAGTCCCAGTGACCTTGTCAACTTCCTCTCTGAATAAACCCCCTTGTGCCCCTGCAGCACTGGGGAATGATGTCCCGGACTTAAATCTGAGCAGCGCTGATCCAGACCTTCCCATTTTTGTTAGCACAAATGAACATGAGCTGTTTCAGGAAGCTGAAAATGCCCTAGAGATGCTAGATGATTTCGACTTCGACAGATTACTGGATGCTGCTTCTGATGGTAGCCCCCTGTCTGAGTCGGGGGGTGAAAATGGAACCACCACCCAGCCAACCTATACTTCTCAGGTTATGCCCAAAGTGGTACCTACACTCCCTGAGGGTCTACCTGTACTTCTTGAAAAACGTATCGAAGACCTCCGTGTAGTAAGTGTAATAATCCTCTTGTTTTTTATTTGCTGCACAAACATGAGAATTAATGCTTTTGTTTGTTTTTATTTTCCAAATAACACTGATATAATTGCTTTGGTTTTATTAAAGATAAAAATAATAACCTACAATCCCAACATTTTTCTAACTTTTTATTTTCCATGTTTCCTTTTAGACCTTTTCTTTTTTTTTTCTTATTTTTGAGAGAAAGTCTTGCTCTGTCTCCCAGGCTGGAGTGCAGTGGTGTGCTTGGCTCACTGCAACCTCTGCCTCCTGGGTTCAAGCAATTCTCCTGCCTCAGCCTCCCAAGTAGCTGGGATTACAGGTGTGTGCCACCTCACCCAGCTAATTTTTGTTTAGTAGAAATGGGGTTTTTGGTATGTTGGCCAGGCTGGTCTTGAACTCCTGACCTCAGATGATCTGCCCATCTTATCCTCCCAAAGTGCTGGGATTACAGGCATGAGCCCCATGCCCAGCCTAGACCTTTCTTTTTAGTAGAAAATAACTGGCTGGCCATGGTGGTACATGCATGTAATCTCAGCACTTGAGGGAGGACAAGGCGGGTGAACCACCTGAGGTCAGGAGTTTGAGAATAGCCTGGTCAATACGGTGAAACTCTGTCTCTACTAAAAATACAAAAAAAATTAGGTGGGCATAGTGGCACATGCCTGTAATCCCAGCTACTCAGGAGGGTGAGGCAGGAGAATCACTTGAACCCGGGAGGCAGAGGTTGCAGTGAGCTGAGATCATGCCACTGCACTGCAGTCTAGGTGACAGAGCAAAACTCTGTCTCAAAAAAATAAATAACATAAAATAAAATAAAAATAAATAAATAGAAATAACTGTAGTGATAACATCAATGCAGTTGATCCTTTTATTATTAAATGTCAGGATTCACCTGACTCCAGAATAAGTGGCATAGGCTTTTTGTTATCCCATGTGGCCCTGTCTACAATCTTAGTTTCTTTTAGGTTTTAAAAAGTGCTGGTGATGTAATTCAGGTTTTTCAAGGTGTACTTATTTATAATAGCTATCATTTATTTAGCAAGAACTCTGGTGTTGGTTGTGTTGCAGCTATGTCCTACAAGGCCCCATTTACTTCTCAGGAGACAGTAGCCCTGAGTGGGTTTCATATGTTTTACACACTGCGTTGTGTAATCCTCTCAACAGTCATGTGACTTAGGTAGTGTTTCTCCCGTTTAATTTAGGAGGAAAATAAAGTTCAAGAACATGAAGTAACTTACCCAAGGCCACATAATTTTTAAGTGGCTGAGCCAGCATTCAAGGTCAGGATTTTTTTGTTTTGTTTTGTTTTGCGATGGAGTCTCGCTTTGTCACCCAGGCTGGAGTGCAGTGGCATAATCTTGGCTCACCACAACCTCCACCTCCCGGGTTCAAGCAGTCTCCTGCCTCAGTCTCCCAAGTAGCTGGGATTACAGGTGCTCACCACAACAACAGCTAATTTTTGTATTTTTAGTAGAGACAGGGTTTTACCGTGTTGGCCAAGCTGCTCTCAAACTCCTGACTTCAGGTGATCCACCCACCTCGGCCTCCCAAAGTGTTGGAATTACAGGTGTGAGCCACTGTGTCCGGCCTCATGCTCACTTAAACAAAATTGGTTAGTGATGAGTGTGTTTCAATCTTGTAAGGCTCTCTTATAGCTCATATTAAATAATGTCTATATCTATAGTAGTCATGCCAGGATTAATACAGCTTCTTCCCAACCCGGTCGTGGGAAATTATCAATAATAAGATTCAGGCTGGGCACAGTGGCTCACATCTATAATCCCAGCACTTTGGGGAGGCCAAGGCAAGAGGATTGCTTTGAGTCCAGGAGTTTGAGCCCTGCCTGGGCAACATGGTGAGATTCTGTCTCCAAAAAAAACCACTTAATTAGGTATTTTAAAAAATAAAAGTAATAGGATTAATTTCACTTACTGATACCTGTGAATCTCCGTTTTTTCTTTGAAATATGAGATGGTGCATTTTCTTCAGGAGGCGAGATTTTATCTTCACCTAAAATGCTCGTGTCTGATAAACACTTTTGTCTTGCTTTTTTACTTTGTAACATTTTTCCACTGCTTAAATCTAATATAGATCATATAAAAAGTTTTAAGGTTATAAAGTTTAAAATTTCATCAAAAATTCTTACAGGTGTTTTTACTCAAAGGAAATTTTTTTTTTTTTTAAAGTTTGGTACAAGCCTAGAAATCTTTTTTTTTTTTTTTTTTGAGATGGAGTCTCCCTCTGTCACCCAGGCTGGAGTGCAGTGGTGCAATTTCAGCTCACCGCAACCTCCACCTCCCGAGTTCAGCGATTCTTCTGCCTCAGCCCCCTGAGTAGCTGGGACTACAGGTGCATGCCACTACACCCAGCTAATTTTTTTTGTATTTTTAGTATAGTTGGGGTTTCACCATATTGGTCAGGCTGGTCTCAAACTCCTGACCTCGTGATCCTCCCGCCTCAGCCTCCCAAAGTGCTGAGATTATAGGTGTGAGCTGCTGCACCTGACCAGGAAATCTATTTTTTATTCACATTAGGCTTTTTGTAACTACTATGTGCATCATGAAGACATTATAACTTAATTTTCAGTTTGATACCCTTTATGACCTGTGATAATGATTGAATCTAAAAGTTGACATTACTAATTTATTATTCATATTACTTTTTTGAAAATATTGTTTGTACCTTCACCAAATCATCAGTTAATGACTTTTTAAAAAATCCTTTATTTTGGCTGGATGCAGTGGCTCATGCCTGTAATCCCAACACTTTGGGAGTCTGAAGTGGTTAGGTCACAAGGTCAGGAGTTTAAGACCAGCCTGGCCAAGATGGTGAAACCCCATCTGTACTAAAAATAAAAAAATTAACTGGGTGTGGTGGCAGGTGCCTATAATCCCAGCTGCTCAGGAGGCTGAGGCAGAGAATTGCTTGGCTCTGGGAGACAGAGGTTGCAGTGAGCTAAGATTGTGCCACTGCACTCCATCCTGGGCAACAGAGTGAGACTCTGTCTCAAAAAAAAAAAAAAAAAATCCTTTATTTCAACAGTTGTACTATTGATTCCATATTACTTTATGTATTCACTACATGTTTGACTTTTTTTGTTCCTCTTAGAGATGACCAATTCTCAGTTTTTGTTGTTATTCACGATATCTAAGGTTTTTTTCCCCCAATATAGAGCGTATTGCCTCCAGCCACACATTTAAGCTGGATCGTTGCCTATTCTGGTCAGCAATCCTCATGGAATGCAGTTAACTCTATTAATAATTATAGTCTCAGTGACTCCTTAAGGACAGAGTCATAGAGTCTGTCTTCTTGGAATCAAGTTAGATATGGTACGAGATTCTTTTGTCTGCTCATGGAAGTCTGCAACTTAAATGTAGTCTGCAACTTCAGTAATAAGTCTGCAATTTCAACATAATAATAATAGTGTAGATGAAAAAAAAAAAAAAAGGTCTTGCTCTGTTGCCAGGCTGGAGTGCAGTGGCATGATCTTGGCTCACTGCAGCCTCCGCCTCCTGGGTTCAAGTGATTTGGGACTACAGGCGCACGCCGCCACACCCAGCTAATTTTTGTATTTTTAGTAGAGTCAGGGTTTCACCATGTTGGCCAGGTTGGTCTCGATCTCTTGACTGCGTGATCTGCCCACCTTGGCCTCCCAAAGTGCTGGGATTACAGGCATGAGCCACTGTGCCCGGCCTACACTATTTTTTGATACATTTAAGGTGTACAGATTTTCAGGGTACATGTCATAATTTGGTACATTCATATGATCAAATCATGGTAATTGGGATATCCATCACCTTAAATATTTATCTTTATGCTAGGAACATTTGAATTATTCTAGCTATTTTGAAATGTGCAATCAATTATTGTTAACTATAGCTACCCTACTGTGACCTATACTATTTTGAAATATCTTTTTCTATTTAGTTCCGAAGACTCTTAACCTTGATTGGAATTGATCTTTGTGTTTTTTTCATATTCTTAGGATCACAGCTTTTACAGATTTTTAAAATATCTATGTTAGGTCTTACAAAAGATATCCGTATTCTAATCCTTGGAATCTGTGAATGTTATTTTGTATGGCAGAAGAGATGGAGTTATTATCCTAGATTAGCCTGTGACCCATAAATGCAATCACTTGTATGCTTATAAGAGGGAGGCAGAAAGAGGTGTTATACACACAGAGGAGAAGGAAATGTGAAGGGAGAGCCTAGAGAGATTTGAAGATGGTGTACTTGGAGGTTGTAGTGCTGCAGCTGTGACCAAAGAATGCTGGCAGCCACCAGAAGCTGAAAGAGGCAAGGAACTAGGTCTTCCCCAGAGCCTCTGGAAGGACCATGGCCCCACTGACACCTTGATTTCAGCCCATGATACTGACTTTGGACTTGGGACTGAGGATGGATACATTTGTCTTGTTTCAAGCCACTCTGTTTGTGGTAGTTTGTTATAACAGCTGTAGGAAACTTACACAATACCCAGCTGAATTTGAATCTCTCAAGTGCCTTTGCCTGTTGATCACAACTCATTTGGTGTTCTACTGATAGGAGCTTCTTTTTTTCTTTCATTAGATATTTATCTCTCTTTTTTAAAAATTTTCCTCATGAAGTGTGTTATAGATATTTATCTCAAATTAATTATTTGTTGCAGCAGGGCACAGTGGTATATACCTATAATCCCAGCTACTTGGAAGGCTGTAATGTGGGAGTATTGCTCGAGCCCAGAAGTTTGATACCAGCCTGGGCAACATAGTGAGGCCCTATCTCAGAAAAAAAAATCATTGAACATATGTCCTAAGAATAAAAAACAGAATAAAAAATAGAGTAATGACCTATTTTGAGTTATGATCATCTTTCTTATGTTTCTCTAGGCTGCCAAACTTTTTGATGAAGAAGGAAGGAAAAAATTCTTTACACAGGATATGAATAATATTCTTCTGGAGTAAGTAATTTTCTTAAAAACAAAACAAAAAAAACCTTAAGAATGATTCATTCAGCTAGGCACAGTGGCTCACGCCTATAATCCCAGCACTTTGGGAGACTAAGGCAGGTGGATCATGAAGTAAAGAGATCAGGATCATTCTGGCTAACATGATGAAACCCTGTCTCTACTAAAAATACAAAAAATTAGCTGGGCATGGTGGTGCACACCTGTAGTACCAGCTACTCGGGAGGCTGAGGCAGAATAATTGCTTGAACCCCAGTGAGCCAAGATTGCACCACTGCACAACAGCCTGGCAACAGAGCAAGACTTCATCTCAAAAAAAAAAAAAGAATGACTCATTCAAAAATGTAATAGGCCTTTGAAATGCTGAGGGGTTGGCAAGACCCAGGCATTAGTTCTTCCCTTTAAGCCTTACAGCATGTACGATTCACATTTATTTCTCAGCAAAATTATGCTTCTGCATATATTGTTTTCCTGGACCATTTAGGATAATCAAAGCTTCCAGTAATAACTGCCAGAGCAAGTGACCACTATACAGGTTGGATATTAAGCTAGACTTAAGTATACTTCATATCATCTTACATGAAAGTATCTTTCTGGGAAATGTTAGAGCATTTATATACAGATTTGGCATGATTTTCCATCTGCTTTTATTACTTACACTTGAGAAGAGCAATTCCATTAATATCTAGTGAGGTTAATTATAATTTTTACAAACTTTTATAGTCAAATGGAAAGTACAGTTTTATAAAGAAATTACGAGGAGACATCAGTTAGAATAAGAAGGAGACAGTGGAAGTATAGTATGGATTGTATCTAAATTAGCAGATTTTGTATTTAACTTAGCAATAATTTTGTACTCAGAGTTTGATACTAATGAAGCTGTAGGTTCTAAGATTGTGGTCAAATAATTTGAACTTGTAAACCCTGTCTTTGACTTAGATCTTAACCATTGTTTACAGGAATCAGGTATATAATTGGATGCAGAACTGGGCAAAAAAGCAAGCATGGGGAAAATAGCAAATTTTAGCCCTCTCTGGTGAAAATAATGTATGCTTATTCTTGGTGGTTTAGTAGCATCATATATTACATAAAAGACATAGGCATGGTGGCTCATACCTGTAATCCCAACACTTTGGGGAGGCCTAGATGGGAGGATCACTTGAGCTGAGAAATTTGAGACCAGCCTGGGGAACATAGTGAAACTCCATCCCTATAAAATATAAAGAAAAATTGGCCAGGTTTGGTGGT